ATGCACAGGGAGACAGCTCAGGGGGCAGGAGTGTATGGAGGGATGGACACTGGGAAGAGGTAACTATGGGAAGGAAGTGGGAGGGGAGCTGTTGCTGCATTGTGGTAAACTGTGGTCAATGACATGAGACAAAGTATATGTGAACTGCTGTATGGAAAGTGAATTTGCTTTGTAAATCTTCACCCATATCACAATAAAAAAAAAAGATGACCATTGATTCTTGGGCCCAACGTTGGTCTCTGAATTAACTGAGTAACAGTATTTGGTTCCTCAGCTGGTTATTAATTGTGCCTTTTGACTTAGAACAGAGTAAATAAAATGCATTTATGAATAAAGCAGCACAACAATCCAGGTGGTAACACTAGCTTTCCCTCTAAAATCTCTTTTGGGCAGCTTTTCCTCTTCTGAGCACTTTCATCTCCCACTCTGCCTTTAACAAAGCCTCTATGAAATTATCACCTGGAATTAGAAAAAGATTAAGGCTCTCTGTGTTTCACTTCAGCAAAATTTTTCTTTCTTTTAAAATCCAATTCATCTATCTCTACCCTGGTTTGGCTCTTGTGGAACAAAATCTTGATCTTCAAGTAATTATGAAATTACAGAAAAGCAGACTATCTGTCTCTCATATTAACAAGCACATTCCAGGTCACAGAAGTATCAAAGCACACCTGGTCTTAATTACCCTTTGGGGCCTATCTTAGAAGAAAGGTGGTTTTTTTTTTTTTTTTTTTTGTATTTCCAAGGTACCTGTGTTGTTTTTGATATTTCAAGTTTAAAGAAGAAATGATTAACTAAAAAATAAATCTTTCATTAATCCATGAGTCACTACACATACCGGATTCAGAAAAGTTTTACTAGAGAAACTCAATAACTTGTTACTATATATGTGTACATCTTGTACAAACCCCAAGAAATACTTATTTCAGTTTTGTTTCAGAATATAACTGTAAACCAGCTACCTACATATAAATTAATGGGTGGTTTCTCAAGCCTAGGGCATTCTAGTGGCTTAGTGCCTAAGGCATTTGACTGCTAACCATAAGCTTGGTGGTTCAAACCCACCAGCCATTCTGTAGAAGGAAGATGGGGCAATCTAACTCCATAAAGATTTACTGCCTTGGAAACCCAATGGGGATTGCTATGAGTTGGAATCGACTCAATGGCAGTGAGTTTGGTTTGGTTTTCTCGAGTCTAAACACTCTACATTATTGACTAAAGCTTGTGTCTGTATGTTGAGGGAAAAGGAGGGTGGGCGTGTTGTATGTTTTAAAACGTTCCACAGGTGATTCTAAAGGGACAATCAAGGCTGAGAAACTTGGGCCTTTGTGATGCTATGACATTCCTAAACTGTTCTCAAAATTAAGGTCAGAAAAGATGAATGCAGTTGGGATTTTTCCCTAACAGCAGTCTGCCTTCCTCAAAATGACAGTCTTACGAAGGAGGCTGCCTGCAAGCTTGTAGGCGTTCTCACTGGCTGTCCCGTAGGGACCGTGTAAGCGGTATTCTGAAAGTAGCCAAGTAATAATGCTCCAGTGGTCTTATGTTTAGCACAGCTGTTTTCACACCAGGCAACTCTGCCCACTTCTTTCTGCAACTGATACCATACCCAAGTGCAAAATGCTGGCCTCTCCTAAGGAGTGTTTGGGCAAAAGAGAGACAAGTTCTCTTAATCAGATATTCAGGGAGCACCGTTTGTGGCTTAATCCTGACTGGTGCTCAGATAAGAAAAAATATTTATGGAGAATTGCCTGAAAGATCTATTGTATACATTCCTCTAATCACTGCAGAATTTAACCTTGTTTCAATTCAGACTGTGAGAGCTGACAACTTCAACCACATTATTGGGGTCCTTTATCGACAATTTTGTTAATAACCATTGGCCCATCTTATATTCTCCCTCTGTCCTACATATATGTTTCTGTGTGGGCTGCCTTAAATTCTTTATAAAATAAAACAGGTATGAATAAAATAAAATGTATATGGAAGGACTTAACTCCTAGAGTCCAAATGACATAGGAAGGCCACTTACACATTTATTTCATTACTTGGTGTAAGGGTTTAGACTGATGCCATATGCAAAGCACAGTGAGTAAATGAGCCGTACCATTGCAAGGATCATAAATGAGACCTTGTTTTGTTTTGTTTTAAAAGAAATAAAAATTCTGAAAATAGTCTTTCTCTGAAATACAATGAAAACTTGACCGTTCTCCAGTCCTATGAAGGTGAACAGCACAATTCCTAACTGGCTGAATTTGGCATCTCAATGAACAAATGTGCAGTGTGCAGTGAAACAGTTTACCTCAACATCCAGTTCAAGAATGTCTGCGGTCACGTTCATCAGGGAGCCGATGTTCGGCTTGGTTCTCCCAAAGTCTCCGTGTACAAACTCTTTAATGTAGCTGGGGTTTGTTTAAGGAAAAAATGAAGATAACCATGTAGTACCAACTATTTGGTGAGATTTGATAGATGAAAGGGAAATGACAAAGGCAGAAATGTTACAAAGGAGAGGTTATTTCCGAGCTATGACTTCTGATGCGTGTCTTAGAACATATGCTATGGCAAACTGGTTTCTACCAGTCTGACAGCCAATAACTGGCCCTGGGGGTCTGTGTTTATATCAAACTTACCAAGAGCCATGACTTTTTTTCTTTGTGCTCATCTCCAAGGTCAAGGTTTTAAAAATTAGCTATAGTTCAAACCTAAAACAAACAAACAAAACTCAACTATTTTTTGTTTGCCACAACTTCCATTATCTTTCTGGTTCCATTTTTCAATAATGACAGCTGGTATCTGCCACTCAGCAAATTTCCATAGCGTCACACACAGGATGACTTCAATGATGGTTTCCTTGCCACACGTGGTACATAGCAATAGGATGGGAAGGACATTGAGAATATTCGTTCAGTCCTGATGAAGGCCTTTCAGAAGGATTATCAAAGGGTCTACATTTTAGTTGTTTGCTAACATGGGTGGTAGAATTAAGCTAATTCCCTCTTTCTTTTTTAAAAGGGGCAACTTTCTGTTTCTCTCACAGGTCTTCAAATTTTTACATCAATTACTAACTCTGGAATGAATAAAATGTCATTAACATTCCTTATATAGGACTGTATTTTCAGCCCTGACAATATTTATCTAAAAGACACCCAGTGTTTTTGCCAGTACTCAGTAAAAAAATATTTAGTATAATTTGAATAGGAAAAGTAAGTTTATTCCCAGATTATGAATACCATTAAATAAAATAAGTATAAGAATCAACAATTAAAATATGCATTATGTCCTCCTCAATTTCTGAACATGTATTCACTCTTCATGTATTCAACAAATGCTTTGACCTCAAGAGTGAGACATAATTGTCTAGAAACTGTCTTCTTGGCTGAACTCATAATTTCTCAACAATTACTATTTCTTTTCCTTACTATGAACTTTCTTTAGAGAATGTACTTCTGAGTAGCAATGATGAGGGAAGCTGAACCAAAAAAGTCCCAGAATAACCAGTTAAAAGGTCCAAAGCGGTACAAGGTTTAAGTCAAATGAGGTAGTATATTGAGCAACATAAATATATACGTTGTATACAAAATAAAAGGAGCTCTGGTGGCATAGTGCCTAAGGCACTTGCCTGCTAACCAGAAGGCTGGCAATTCAAACCCACCAGCCACTCTTTTGAAGGAAGGCTGGGCAATTTACTTCCGTAGAGATACCACCTTAGAAACCCAAGGATGGGTTGCTAAGAGTCAGGTCTGACTCGACGGCAAATAACAAGAACAACAACAATACAAAATAAATGGAATATGTGAAAAATTTCATATACGTCTGTGTAACCATTTGCTATCTAAAGCTTTGCCAAATAACCTTTCTTGGCTAATGCCTTAAGTACATGTACATGCCGGTTCTGTTTTAGTGTGATTGAAAAGACATTAGCTTCTCCCAGAGGCCAGTGCATTTCTCCATGAAACACCAAAACTAAATTTGGGATTAGGTCAAAAGGGTTCAAAAGAAATCTGTGATTTCTTTGAATTCCATCCATGTTTCATCCACAGTTGGTAAATGCATTCCAAACAATGATATAAAGATTTGCCTACTGGGATCTAAATAGATCACCCCTTGATGCAAACTGCAAAAAAAAAAAGAGAGAGAGAGAGAGAGAGAGTGAGTGTCGGAGTAAACCTATCCCTGGTTTAGGTGAGAAATCCTGGTCACTCCTATTATGGGCATGGACAGACTACTTACAGAAATATAGTGACAATGCTATATGATGATTAAAAGCTGATTTTTTTTATTATTATTTACAAATGGAAATCATGGGTTTTATACCAATTAGAAGGCTTTTTATCACTTCATGCTGCTGGAGAGATACTGATCATGAAACAGTATAAGATCAAGAAACAAGCAAAGGAGAGGGACATACTTGAAAAGCAAAGTTAAAGCCAAAACTACTGAAGTGTCCTGATAAATTTTAATCAGTAACTCAGTTCTGATACAAAACCATACAAATTAGGCTATGAACAAATTATCAGCTTGGACTGAGTGTATTTTAACTCTGACTTGCAATCTTTTCTATTTATAACACAAAGTTATTTGTAGTATTTTAAAACGATGCTAATGGCAATACAATATTACTATCACCCACATATATAAGGCTCAAACAAATGATATGTAATCTGAAGTTTTCTGTTTTTTAACAAAGCATGAAGAGAAAGAATATTCTTTGTTGCAATGAGCCAGTTGGGAGCTCTGGTGGTGTAGTCCCTAAGGCATTAGACTGCTAACCAGAAGGCTGGTGGTTCAAACTCACCAGCCACTCCTCAGAAGGAAGATTGGGCAATCTACTGCTGTAGAGATACTACCTCAGAAACCCAAGGAGGGGTTGCTATGAGTCGAAACCAACTTGATGGCAGTGAGTTTGCTTTTTTGTTAATGAGCCGGTGGCCAAAATTAAAACTGACACGTAAAGTGGTACCATTCTCATATACTACCTGGAGCAAATGTTTGAATGCTGTTAGGACCCAAATGTAGTCATGAATATGTGACTTTACAAATATGTAGACAACAAATCAATCAATCAAAAGTATTTCCTGTGTTCTCACTATGTGCTCAGCACTGTGTGAGATGCTAGAATTATGTGAAACAACCAAAAAGCCAGTTGCTGTCCACTCGATCCCAAAGCATGGCAACCCCAAGTGTTGTACAGTAGAACTGCTCCTCAGGCTTCTCAGGGCTGTGACTTCTCAGACAGAAGCAGATCTCCAGGCCTGTCTTCTGAGGCTTCTTTTGGTTAGTAACCAAGTACTTAACTAATAAATAACTTTAAAGTTGACATTGGACTGGCTGCTCCCTTATGGTTTAAAAATGTTTTTGAAAAGCACAAATGTGGTAGGGGGGACTTCAAACCAAAAAAATTAGATTATTCTTCAATATAATGCTTTTCCTTATACCTCCCAGACCAAGTTGAAACTATTTTTTAGGACGACATTAATTCCCACTGGGGTTCTGGTTAGAGTACTGCTATGTGGAAGGATACGTCCCAGCTTGAGTCTTCAGACAGAGACGAAAATGATGCTCGTCCACATACTGTGTGTCCATGGTGTGAACGATCCGAGTTCGCACAGCCAAGGGCCTCCGGTGAAGGACCCGGAGAGGTGTTTTCTGGTCAATCTTTAAGTCCTAGAAGGGGATATGATAAACAACCAGGGAGTCAGAGCTTCACCGCCCAGTGAAACCAGGTGTTAATGCCACCTTTGTCATCCTTGGTTCGCCACAGATGTTTTCTTCAGGGGACTCCATCTATCACTGTCAAGGGAGAAACTAATACTATAATACATGTTATCCACTTAGGGTCAGACTCTGTGGCACTTCTCATAACCTACTCCATAACTACTAATTGTCTGGACCCCAGTAGCCTCACCATAAAATAAGGGCTTTGAAACAAGTGATCCCCAACATCTCTTTTTTTTTTATTAGGATTTGGGTGAAGATTTACTGAGTAAATTCACTTTTCATACAGCAGTTCACATATACTTTGTCTCATGTCATTGACCAAAATTTACAATGCAGCAGCTCCCCTCCCACTTCCTCCCCATAGTTACCTCCTCCCAGTGTCCATCCCTTCATACTCTTCTGCACCCTGAGCTAACTCCCTGGGCACAACCAGCCCTTCCTTCTCCCACCCAACATCTCTTTTAAGGAGCCTTCCTGGTACAATAGTTTAAGCACTTGACTGCTAACTGAGAGGTCAATGGTTCAAACCCACCAGCTGCTCCGTGGGAGAAAGATGAGGCAGTCTGCTTCCACAAAGATTTATAGCCTTGGAAACCCTATAGGCCAGCTCTACTCTATCCTATAGGGTTGCTATGAGTTGGAATCAACTCAGCAGCAGTGGGTTTTTGGAAGGTCCCTTTTGGCTCTAATATTTAACACACGTTGATTAGGATCCTGAAGTTCTACCATGCCCTTTACTTCAACAGAATTCTTCCAGAAGACAATGCTGTTTTGTTTTCTAACCCAACAGAGTGAGTAATGGGATTTTAGGCTGGGGTGGGAAATGGTGGGTTGCAGACCGTGGGCCATCAGCATCACTAGGATGTGTGGGCGATTTGCAGGTTTTAGGGAGAATCATGCATCTACTTACAGGGTTTATATGTTGTTGTTGTTGGGTGGTGTCAAATGATTTCAATTTACAGTGACCCTGCGGGTCCGACTCGACGGCACATAACAACATGGGATAGACTAGAACTGCTCCATAGGGTTTCCTAAGTGTAATCTTCAGGGAGCAGAGAGCCGTGTCTTTTCTACTGTGGAATGGCTGGTGTATTCAAACTTCTGCCCTTTCAGTTAGCTGCATTACTGCTTAGGGTGATGTTTCAATATAATAATTATGAATATGTGTGCATAATAAACCAGGACCTGTCTTGGCATTTGTTCACCCAGTCTAAGTTATTGGAGAATAATAGTAGTGTGTGTCTTTTTACAATCCAGATGTTTCAGGGGCACACGTTTATCCTTCTTACAGTTCAAATTAGAGATTTTCCTTTATGTCACAAGATATTAAAAAATAAAGCCTAATATCTTAAAAGGTCAGCTGATGCCAAGTTTTAAAAATAGATATTGGGCATAACCAGAAATACAAGTTCATAAGAACTTTGAATTCTCTGCAATTTCTTGTTGGAACAACTCCTTCTTAATTTACATGATTAGTGAGCACCTGAAGCCCTGCTAAGAAAAGAAAGGTTTCTGTCTAGTCTCACCTCTATCAAGGCCTCCACCAAGAAAGAAACAGTTAGTTCTGACAAAGATGACACTTGAAAGGGTGTGACTACTTTTATCAGAGCAGTGAGTCAATGCCTGCCCCCGCCACTCTGTGGTTTTTATGATTCTGTAACTCTTTGATTTTTAAAGCACTTTGTTCTGATGAGATAAGCTGTCTCCATAAGGCTTGACATTTCTCTAGCCAAAGAGACCAAAAATTAAAGGACAAACCTTAACTATTAAGGAACATGTAAAGATATGGCCTCCACTTTAGAGTACCAAAACAGGCAGCTTGTAAATGTGGGACTACGTAATGACCGTTCTTCTCCCTGCTTCTTTCCCTTCCAGTCGCTCCCAAGACTTGGACCCATGAGCCAGTCAATGGAAGTATCAGCTGAAAACTAGATCCCACTGCCCCTGCTTCCAGCATGTTGTTGTTGTTATGTGCCGTCGAGTCGGACCTGACTCATAGGGACCCCTCCTTGTATCACTACAGAAGCAGATTGCCCAACCTTCCTTCCGAGGAAATACATGGGCACATGTCTCTGATGGTCTGCTTGTTTCTAGCTGATGAAAGGAAACCACTTCATTGCTTCTTACATTGTACCCATCTGTCCCCATAATGCTGAATTTTCAGAAATACTCACAAACACACCATACACGTGGGGCTTTTTTGTTTTGTTTTTTCTTAGAAGTAGTATGCTCTTAAAAAAAGAGGAGAACAGTATTGAAGTGACTGTTTCTGAGAATGGGGCAGCAATTCAATTTTTCTGAGTTTGATGCCAATAGGAGTATTTGAAAACAATTTTAACCCTAACACCTAAAAAATAATTAGAAATTAACTAGTCTCATTAGTCCTGCTGTTAGCTTGGGCTGTGGATCATGAAGTAGACCCCTGCACCACTTAGTCCATGCCTACAGAAGTCATCTTTTCATCTCAATCGGCTCTATGGTTTTCCCCAAACAGTGAACCATTTTTTAAGTAAGAGTTTGTTTTTTCCCCAGTATTCTGAATGATTTGTACACATGTGAAGGAAAAGAAAGGTTTAGAAATTTGCTATGCAATCTTAAAAGTACCTGTCTATAAGTAACACCCTAAAGACCCTAAATAATAGACCCAAAAGCCAAAGGGCCTTAGATATAGAATCACAGAACATCAAACTAGAGGGGCCATTGGAGATGATCTAGTCCATCCCTTTGTTGTAAAGAGAAGCTTCTCAAAGCAGGTGAATGCAGGGAGACAGCTGGGGGTGGGGGTGGGGGGAGTGCATGGGAGGGAAGGACACAGGGAAGAGGTGACTATGGAGAGAAAGTGGGAAGAAGGCTGTTACATTGTGGGGAATTGCAGTCAATGTCATGAGACAAAATGTGTATGAACTGCTGTATGGAAAATGAATTTGCTCTGTAAACTTTCACCCAAATCACAATACAAATTGAAAAAATAAAAAATAAAGGAAAAAAAAAAAAAAGCCAGTGAATGACTTGTCTAGAGAGCTAGATTACATCCCAAATTTATCCACAAACTTATTGATATGATAATTTTTGTTCCTTGATTTTCATTTTCAAATTACAAAAGGAACATGAGTTTATTGTACCTTATAGTGCAATTCAAATATAGATAAAGCTCTCCCCACACTCCAAGATTATAAATGCAACAGCTTTGTGTATACCCACTCATAATTTTCTCCATGTTCCTACAAACCTATGCACCCTCATGCACAAATGTAAATGGAGTCTGATTGGTGTCACCTAAACATTCACACTATAAACACTATTCTGTACTTTGCTTTTTTCTCTGAATACGTTCATAGATGTCCCTGGAAGTCACAGATGTAGATCTACCTCTATCTTTTTTCCTAACATTTTTAGGCAGGTGCGGAGACACACTAACACATACATCAAATGGGATCACATGTTGGGCTTTTTGTTTTGTTTTTAAATAGGTGTGTTGTTGTTAGGTATTGCTGAGTCGATTTCAACTCATAGCAAATCCATGTGACAGAGTAGAACTGCCCCATAGAAGTTTTCTAGGCTGTAATCTGTAGGGGCAGACTGTCTCTCCTTTCTCCCATAGAGAGCTGGTGGGCTCAAACCACCTGCCTTTTGGTTAGCAGCCAAGGAAAGGAGCTCTGATGGCACTGTGGTTAAGCATTGGGCTGCTAACTAAAAGGTCAGCAGTTTGAACCCACCAGCTGCTCTGTGAGAAAAAGATGACACAGTCTGCTTCCATAGTGATGTACAGCCTTGGAAACTCTATAGGGGTCACTATTGAGTCAGAATTGACTCGATGGCAGTGGGTTTAATCTTTATGGGAGTAGATCACCAGCTCTTTCTTCAGCGGAGCTGCTGAGTGGTTTTGAACCATCTACCTTTCAGTTAACAGCCCAGTGCTTAACTGTTGTGCTACCAGGATTAGTTATAACCCATCTACAGGTAAGCCATAATAGTATCCCCTCGAGTAGGTCTAGACTGCTACAACTGTTGGCAGTGAGTTTGGTATGGTTTTGGTTATACAAGAATAACATTGTTATTCTTCTCTACATGCCAGGCACTGTTCTAAGTGCTTTATATGACTAAACTCATTTAATTCTCCTAACTGATTTTGTAGATGAAGAAACTGAAGTACAGAGAGGTTAAGTATCTTGTCCAAAGTCACACAACCAAGAAATGCAGAGGCAGGATGGGATATATGAATCGCCCAGTTGTTCAGGTAGTAAGTGGCAAAGTCAGGACTTGAATCCAGGTCTGACAGACCCCAAAGCCTGGAAATAAACTAGAAAACGACAGATTCTTGTGTGGGCAGTAGAAAAATAAAACAGAAAGGATGGAAGCACTTCCACTACCTTTATGTCATTTAGAAATTCAATGTCTTTCTTCTGTATTGCTTTATTTGTCCATATTAAGGCACTATAGGTCTTGGTCTTTTCTTCTTCACCTTCTTTCATATGTCCTATTGCCTCTCTAAACAAAAACAATAATAGAAAATTTGTCTGAATATATAAAATACACATAAGTATTGCCCCAAACTACCCTTTAAAAACAAAACAAAACAAAAAGCTCTGAGATATAATTTACATACCATGTAATTCACCATTTTAACTCTACAATTCAATGATCTTGAGTATGTTTACAGAGTTATACAGCCATCACCACAATCTAATTTTAGACTTCTTTTACCATCCTCAAAAGAAACTCCACTCTGTACCCATAAACCATCCCTCCTCATTCCCCTATCTTCCTAGCCCTAGACAACCACTAACCAACTTTTTGTCTCTATATATTTCTTTATTCTGGACACTTAATATAAAATGAAATCATACAATATGTGGTGTTTGGTGTCTGGATTCTTTCACTTCATGTTTTAAGGTTCATCCATGTTGTAGCATGTATCATCAGTACTTTATTCCTTTTTATTACTGAATAATATTCCATTGTGGGGATATACCACATTCTGTATATCTATGCATCAATTGGCATAATTTGGGTTTTTCTACTTTTTGGCTATTTTGAATACTACTATCATAGGAGCTCTGGTGGCATAGTGCCTAAGGCATTTGACTGCTGACCAGAAGGCTGGCGGTTCAAGCCCACCAGCCACTCCTTGGAAGGAAGATTAGGCAATCTACTGGCATAGTGAGACCCCCTTAGAAACCCAAGGAGGGGTCACAATGAGTCAGATCTGAGTCCACGGCAGTGAGTTTGTTTTTTGGTGAGTGTTCATGTATAAGTCTTTGTGTAGGCATACAATTTTGTTTTTCTTGGGTACATATCTAGAAATGGAATTGTTAGGTTATACGGTAACTATGTTTAATCTTTTGAGAAAATGGTAATTCTCTAAAGTGATCCCACTTACAAACCCATCAGCAATGTATGAGGGTTCCAATTTCTCCACATCCTTGTCAACACTTGTTACTATCTATCTTTTTCATTAGAGCTCTCTAGTGGGTGTGCAGTGGGATTCATTTTGCTCTTGACTGATATTTCCATAATAGCTGATGAAGCTGAGCATCTTTTCATGTGCTCATTGGTTTTTCATACATCTCCTTTGGAGAAATGGAGATCCTTTCCCCATTTTTTATTTACTTAATTATTGACTTAAAAGAGTTCTTTATATATTCTGGAAAAAGTCCCTTAACAAAAGCATGATTTACAACAAAAACTTGCCTTGTAAGATCATCTCCACTGAGCCCAACTTACTTACCTTGTGACAAGCTGCAAGTCCCGAACCTGGATTTTGTCAGATGAGTTATTAATTTTCTGTAGCAGAAGAAGAAAAACAATTAGCAACTCTAGCTCAGTTACGGAGTTGCAGAAACATGACGATTTCCATGTCATGGAAGTGGTTTACCTGCTGAAGTTCCTTAATTTCTTGTGAAGTGAAATGTACTCTATGAGGATTCACCAGCTCAATTGCAAAGGGCCTTCCTGGCAGCACACACCCCGTCATGAAACAGAAACGTGTTGATGGAGTTAACATTTTGGCTAATGCAAGAGGGTTAGGAGGTCTGAAAAAGGGGTTGAGCTCTAGAGGACTGAAAGTTTAGTGACATGACTACATCTGGGGGAGGGAAGAATGTGTGAAAAGAATCAAGGGGCTTTTTTTGGAGGATGGGGGGCTGCTAAACCCAAGTACAGGCAATGTGTGAAAATGACTGCTTTCCCTAAGGTCCTTTGAACAAGCATGTGTTAATTACAAAGTAAAATCTGAACACCCACTAATTAAGTGGGTTTCTGTCACCTGCAGCAATGCCCAGGTAAACCAGGCTAAAATCCATCCTCCTAGCCTAAGCTACTAGTGAAATGGAAACTCTGGGATCTCACGAGAGGAAGGAACTACACATCTCAAATCGCTCGAGATACACTCTCATCATCTTTGTTGTAACACATGTAAAATGAGATAAATGAAGGCTAAGAGAGCAGAGCCACTTTTTAAGTAAAGAAGTGCATTTAGAAAACTACTAGTACTGCTAAAATATTATTAAATGGAACAATTAATAATCAAAATTCTGGAAAAAAAAAATCAGGCACCTCGTTGGCAACGACTATTCCAGTAGTTCCTTATTATTTACAAGTATGTGATAAGAATGGCCTCTGAAGAAATGAGTCCTAGTAAGACATATACTGTATAATTTATAAAGGAAGCTCCACAATACACAAAGCTTCCCACTTGGAGAAGCCCTGGGCTCTGTCTCACTTTGGTTTTGGCTAAGAGACTACAGTAAACCTGCTATGTGAACAGGGTAGTAATCTGAAAGTTAGTTCTAGTCAGGTGATGCTGTGGCAATCTTACCATTTCCTAATGTTCTCACATCAACATCTTCTCTTCCAGAGGATGAAAAATTAAAACCTTTGGAAAGCAGATAAAGAAAAAAATAAATCAGAGACAACATAACTCTAACATACTGGTCCCCAACCTTTGGGAGAAACCCAACTTAAGGTCTTGGACAACCTATAGGAGAATCTCAAGGGATGGATAGCTGTCATTCCACTTAAATCTCTAGTAAAAATAGAAATGAAAGCAGTAAAGCACTTACCATTTATTGAGTGCTTATTATATGCCAGGCACTAGGCTAAATATTTTGTATGCATTATTTCATTTAAGGAGCTCTGGTAGTATAGTGCCTAAGGCACTGCTAACCAGAAGGCTGGCTGTTCAAACCCACCAGCCACTCCTTGGAAGGAAGGTTGGGCAATCTACCTCTGTAGTGATACCGCCTCAGAAACCCAAGGAGGGGTCGCTATGAGTCGGGTCCAACTCCATGGCAGTATGTTTGGTTTTTTTGGTTTGGTATTTCATTTAGTCTTTATTACAGCTAAGGAGCTCTTGCAGCATAGTGCCTAAGGCACTTGACTGCTAACCAGAAGGCTGGCGGTTCAAACCCACCAGCCACTCCTCGGAAGGAAGGTTGGGCAATCTACTTCCATATTGATACTGCCTCGGAAACCCAAGGAGGGGTCACTATGGGTCGGGGCCGACTTGACGGCACATAACAACAACAACAACACAGCTAAGGAACTAGGTTTTAAATAAAAGAACACTGAGCCTCAGAAAGGTGAGGTAATTTTCCCAAGGTCACACAATCAAATGGTGGAGCTAGGTGTTTCTGCCCTTAAAACCAGATCTCCACATTGTCCCATGCCACCACCTCATGGGCAAGCCAAGGGCATAGTGTCATTGAGAGGCAGCCTCCTCCAACCTGGCTAAAAGCTAATGGTAAAAACTCTACCATCTTTCTTTAAATCAAAACAAAGCAAAAATATTTATTAAAGAATTTAACTCTACTAAAGGAAGAACCAAAAAACTCACTGCCTTTGAGTCGACTCCGACTCAGGCGAACAGCGACCCCTATTGGGTTTCTGAGGTGGTAAATCTTTATGGAAGTAGATTGCTCAATCTTCCTTCCTGGAGCGGCTGGTGGGTTTGAACTGCCAACCTTTCGGTTAGCAGTCAAATGCCTTAGGCACTTGCCACCAGAGCTCCCATGAAAGAAAGAGGAGGAGAAAAAAAAGGTTTAACTCTTTAAAAAAAAAAAAAAAAGTGTGGATTCTAAGATAAATGGATCCTCACAGACTAAAAGATACAAATATTGGAAGGAAAAAATGGCACAGAAATGGTTATGTGACAACTTCTTACAGAGTTGCCTGATGATTTCATCATTATCACCACAGCAAAGATTATTATGAGCAGGCTTATTCTATATGCATTCTTTATGTTAACACTATGAGGTAGATACTATCATTTTCCCTGTTTTACTTATGAGGAAGTTGAGGCAGAGACAAGGTGATTCACTTGCCTAAGGTTTTACAGTTGGTAAGTGGTAGGGTCAGGATCTGAAGCAGGCAGTCTGACTCCAGTCTCTACTATTAACCACCATGCTATCCCGTACACCACAAAGACAGCCCAAGCAGCTCAAACTTGTCCCCATGGGAACAAGCAGGACCAGCCTTCTGGGACCAGACATGTTTTGGGAACCCTGACTGCATGGTCTGTCATTAGAGTGGTAAGGTTGAAGGTGTTTCAACATAGAGGCTAAAGGCTGAGACCTTGGGCTCATACCTTGATTTATTCATCCAGTAAACAAGTATCTGTAGGTTGCTACTATGTACGAGGTACTATGCTAGAGTCTGGGGAGACAGGCAAACAAGGTAGACGTAGTCTTTATCCTTACAGAACTTACTGTTTATGGAGGGAGGGATATGGACTATAATGGGGGCAGTGGTGGTTCAGTGGTGGAGATCTTGCCTTCTATTCAGGAGATCCTGTTCAGGGTTTGATTCCTGGCCAGTGCATCTCATACGCAGCCACTAGCTGTCTGTCAGTGGAGGTTCGCATGTTGCTATGATGCTGAACAGATTTCAGTGGAACTTCCAGACTCAGATGGATGAGGAACAAAGGCCTAGTGATCTACTTCTGAACATCAGCCAGTGAAAATCCTACAGATCACAGCATTCTGATCTGCAACTGATTGTGGGGATGGTGTGGGCCTGGGCAGCGTTTCATTCCATTGTGCATGGGGTCATCATGAGTCAAGGTCGACTCCTCAAGAGCTAACAACAACACCACAGACCATAAAATAGTGGATAAGGATAGCAGAGGACAAGTACAGGAAACTTCCTACAATAGGAGCGCGATTTCACTATGAGCTGTTGTTGTTGTTGTGATGTGCCGTCGAGTCAGCCCTGACTCATAGCGACCCCTCCTTGGGTTTCCGAGGCAGTATCACTACGGAAGTAGGATTGCCCAACCTTCCTTCCGAGGAGTGGCTGGTGGGTTTGAACCGCCAGTCACTATGAGCTAGGAGGCTTGTATTTATTCTTTCACATTCCAGCCACTTTGGAGAGCACAAGATGAGGAAGAACAAGATTGCTGGGAAAGACAATGCAGGGTTGAGGAGAGGACTGGGCTATATACAATTTTGACAGCCATTTTTCTCCCAAGACAGATTCTATATGCAAAACTCCCATGTAGATTTTAGAAAGAGAGAGGCTAAAAGGCTTGAAAAATCCCATGAAGATAATACTGAAGATTAGCCCTCCTTTTTTGGATGGTTAGATGAGAAAAAGATAGGATTTCACCCTTCCTTCATCTTTAAGAAATATTTTTAGCAAGTCATGGCCAACATTTGTTGAAAACATAGGCTCCAGGCTGTTTGTTGTCTGTAGAGCACTGTCAGAGTGAGGTGGGCTCCCCTCTGACTCATAGGGCCCAACCTGTGGGTCTCACAGAGGAGCAACCTAGGGCTGGTTTGGTGAGGGCCAGATTACCCAAGGCAGGCCTAGAATCCAAGTTGCTCAGAAGTCAGGTGACCCTGTGCTGCATGAGCAACTGATGACTGGCCCAGTGGGCAGCCAAGGGCCACACTGTTCCAGCGTGATCCAGCTGTTCCCCAGGTGGAGAATCTAGACCAGGCAGGGAGTAGGATTCCAGAGACCTCTATGTCCAAATAGCCCCCTGTTCTGTATTTGCATTCCAATGTCAAGTGACTAAAAAGCCCCACAACAACATGACTAGCTTCTGGTCAGAGTCAACAGACTCAAGTAGTAGCACTAACTGCTGTTGTTATGTGCCATCGAGTCAGACCTGACTCACAGTGACCCCTCCTTGGGTTTCCAAGGCAGTATCACTATGGAAGTAGATTGCCCCATCTTCCTTCCTAGGAGTGGCTGGTGGGTTTGAACCACCAGCCTTCTGGTTAGCAGTCAAGTGCCTTAGGCACTATGCTACCAGAGCTCCTGATAAGTAACCAAAAAATCCCAAACCTGTTGCAGTCAAGTCAATTCTGACCCATGGCAACCCCAAGTGTTACAGAGTGGGCCTGCTCCACAGGGTTTTTCTTGGCTGTAATCTTTATGGAAGCAGGTCACCAGACCTGTCTTCTGCAATGTCACTAGCGGGGTTCAAACAGCAAACCTCTGAGTAGTTGAGGACAAACTGTTTGTGCTCCCCAGGGACATGAGCAGTAGGTTAAAAAAAAAAAAAAAAAACCAAAAACCTTACTGTCAAGTCAACTCCAACTCATAGCAACCTTTCAGGACAGAATAGAACTACTACAGCTGTTGCTAAATGTTGTTGTTGTTGTTGTTACATGACGTTGAGTTGGACCGGACTCATAGCGACCCCTCCTTGGGTTTCCAAGGCAGTATCACTACAGAAGTAGATTGCCTAAACTTCCTTTCCGAGGAGTGGCTGGTGGGTTTGAACTGCCAGCCTTCTGGTTAACAGTCAAGTTAGGCACTACACCTTAGGCACTATGCTACCAGAGTAGAGAGTTCAAAATGACTTCTGGGAAGCTGAAAGATGCTGACTTCCTGAAGCTATGATTGTCTTTCACCTACTCACTCCCATCTCCTAACCAGCCACAATGTCGAGAAACCAACAGGTGCCACAGTGACGGATCCAGAACCTGTGACTGGTGGGTGGAAGGAATGGACAGGACACAAAGATATAGTTGTACAGAATACTGCTAACTCAGACCAGAAATCTCAAATTCATAGTTAGCCCTTAAAACGGTTTTCCCACAAATTCCACCCCATCAACAATAAAGAGCTACAAAAAGTTGGGCTCTTGGGAAGGCCAGAGAAGCCCTAAACCCAGACTAAAGGAGAAGGGGTGTGTTTATCATTAAAAATATATTTCAAACTTGAAAACTAAGGAAAACATCCTGGAACCCCAAAGTGAGAGATTTTTTGGGAACAAACCTGAAAGCTTTATTAAGGTGCCATGATGAATACTAGCAGACAAAAAGGAAGAGAGGCCACAGTCTTAGGTATCAAGAAATACATATTTAAAACTTGGTTGAGTTTTCTAGACTCACATATGCCTTGCTTTACCCTTCTAATTCTGTAAGTTATTTGAGCCTTCTGTTCAAAAGACCCAAACCACAATAAAAATAATAATTAAAAAAAAAAAAAAAAGGAATGGAGAGTTCAAAAACCAAATGAAACCAAGAGCGAGAATACTCAGGAGCTACAGGTGGCTGCACCAGGCTACAGTCTCCCTTGCGCTCGGGGACAGACAGGGGTGGGACTGAAGATGGACAAGAAGCCAGATGATAAAGGGTGCAGAATATCAAGTTTAGCCATTTAGACTAAAACCCATAGCTAGCATTGACGAAGTTTTTCAGCAAGGAACTGAGAAGACAAACACTTTTACATAAGGAAAGTGAATTGCTACCAGAGATCCCAACAAATGTATTAGAGAAAAATTTCTTCTTCAAATTGATCTTAAGTGTCAGAGTTGTTTACTCATTAACTAGGGAATTAGCAAGTAGATAGCAGAATGTACCACAGTGAAGTGACTGAGAAACAAGTTTGTATATTCCACCTAGCAGAAGAACCATTTATATAAGTAGCTATGCTGCTTAGTACAGTACTGGGTATTTTCACAGAGCTGTAAAACCATCATAACTTTAGGGGTACAACAGTCAGAACCATGTTCCCATAGTTGTTAGATGTAAGGCATTCATCAGAAGTAACAAGTGCTGTAGCTGAGAAGCACAGGTTCCATAAATTGATCAGTGCTATTCATCAGGCATTTAAAGCAACAAGGCTTTATCCTGACAACCAACCAGTTAGCAAAGAAGCCCAGACAGTTGTGTCACCAGTGATAAGTGTTGATGTCACTCAGTGAGGTAACCCACCTGGTGTTACCCACCCCCGTGGGCCTCCTCTCATATCAGACCATACAGAATTCTTAGTAATGTTCATTATCAATTTTAATAATAGAATCATATGTGATAAACATAGTTGTATATTTCTTACATGTAATGTTTCTTAGATTATAAGAATACTAACAAAATTGTTTTGCAAAATCTTTCTACAGTGAATTACATCATTAGTTACATTATTAGTCACTGAGTGAAAGGCATTTTTCAAATTTTTCTCCTTCTTTTCCTTTAATTACTACTTCATCTCAAAAAAGCATTGATATAGGTTTGTAAATACAATTTCCACAATATTGTGGCTAAAACACCAGAAAGTTTGACAAAATCAGTGACTATCAAAACACTGGCAGCAAGGAAAACAACCGTACATGCTCACAGCACATGCTCCCAGCACAGGCAGACGAAACCATGTGATTCGAAGCATCGCTGTAACTGGGTAATAACAACAGCTCTGACTGGAGCACATTAGAAGATTCAAAAAGTAATTCTGCATTCCTCAAATGGAAAATGATAACAAACTACCTTCATGAAAGATTGTAAGTGGGAAACCTTGCAAGAGCCCGCCAGAACCCCTAAGGGTAAGGGGGTTTCCTTCGTGCCTAACCAATCAGAACTGAAGGTTTCTTGAATATTCTTATAGAAAGGGTAAAGGTGGCTCCAGAAAGAGTTTGAAAAAGATGACGTTTTGTTCTAAAGCTTAATGTTCATTTCTTTATAACTTAGATAAGTAGTACTTTTTTCTGGGAGATAATATAATCAAAAACAATCATTGAGTTTCTTCCTTTAGGTAAGGGGAAAAGTCTTACGAGGGCACTAGCAAATAATAAATTGAGTAGGTAAAAGCTCAGGACCATAGCCCAAAGCCTTCACCTCTAACATTTTGGAAAATATTAAGTTGTCAGATTACTATCCAGTTGAATTGGTACATGTTTTGCTCAACAACAACATAAAATTTAATTAAAAAAAAAAAAAAAAAAGAATGAAAGAAATGGCCTACCTAAGTTACAGTGAACAAGCAATAAGAGGGATATGGTTTGAAGTGCTTCCACTTCCTCCTGACAAGCCAGAGAGCTAGAAGGGACAGCCACCGTCCATCCGACTATCTGCTTGCCTTTCCCAAAGAAGCCTCCTCTTCGGGTTTTTCAGAGAGAAGCCTGGATGTTCATCTGGTCCCTCAAAAAGGCTTTCTAATAATGCTAGGAAATCCATTCTAAAGAGTGGCATCACTCTCTGCCTGCGGTTCTTCCTGATGTGTAACATGATTTCCTGCTATTGAAATCTTAGTTTATTTCCTCTTGTCTAATGCTAGGTGAAATCATGGGCTTTATATTACCTTTGACCGACAGGCCTGTTGCAACAAGGAAAACAGAAGCCTGATAGAACCTGACTCATCCCACAAACTCGGGCTCATGGATACCTAAGAAATTAAAACACGACACAAATTCTACAAAGTCTTTGTGAAATGTTGCTGTCGGCTTATATTCTGTAGGCTTGAACTTTATCCAGTAATACTGTGATAAGCTGGAAGCCAGACATTTGACAGTATTTTGTAGTGGATAAGGCATTTGGCTGCTAACCAGAAGTTAGCAGTTCAAACCCACCAGCCGCTCTGCAGAAGGAAGACAGGGCGATCTATTTCTATAAAGATTTTACAGCCTCAGAAACCCAATAGAGGTCACTATGAGTCAGAATTGACTCGATGGCAGTGAGGTTTTTGGGATTTTTTTGTGGGGTGGGAAATTCTTATTTTAATTTCTTCATATTCTCAAAAAAAAAAAAAAGAGGCTTAGGCTGAGGTGTCCCAAGATCAGGCTGAAATGCATTCATTTAAAGTAGTTTCAATTGTTTTCAAACTCCCCAGGAGAGAACAGTCACCTTGAGTGAGGAAAGAAATTCTTGGGCACCTTAGCCCAAATCCAGCCTGGGCCAGAGGGGCCCAGGGCGTGACACAAGATATGGGGCTCAGGCTTGGGGGTGATTAACAAAATACAGCAATCCTTCTTGTCACCTCCAAGAAATTTCTTCATGAGTGACAGTGTTATTTAAAATCATGAATATTGTAACACTTACTCTCTGCTTTAAATACTGTCAACAGATGATCTGAAATTAATTCTTCCACTGAAGACTCCAGCTTCCTTTCTCCATCAATTATCCAAGGAGTTTGTGGTAGATTCCTGGAGTATTTATTATATCTCCCTGCCAAAGAGATGGAATGATGTGATCAACACAGTAGGATAAAATGAAAAGCAACAACTATTTAGTGAGTGCCAATCTCCTAGGTGCTTTGACATAAAACAAAGCCTAACCCTCAACTAACTTACAATCTAATTTGGGGAGCCAAGATATAGACGTGTAGATAATTAAATGAAAAGATTTAAAAGTAACAAGAGAAGAGACATCTAAAGACATGATATGAATGGTGCATCAAATGAGTTCTAAAGGAAGGCTCAATATATTAATTAATCTGATTGGCTGATTGAATAACTTATAATAGAATAGAATGCACCAAAGACCATTTTAAAAAACAGCAATTATTTCTTTTACAGCTGATTAATACTTTCAATGTAGTAATCATTGGTGACACTGTATGCTGAAGAGTTCAAATCTAGGAAATTTTGAAGTTTTTACAATTAAAAAAATCCTATTAGAATATGACTCACCACTTTATGAATAAAGCCAAACAAAGACAGAGAAGCTATGACTGCCCTAGGGCAAGGTGCTAGAGTCAAGGCTAAAGACCAATTTCATTTTAGCTATTCATATGAAACACCAATTATTTAAAAAAAAAAAAAAAATTGTCTGCTAGATTACCTCCTGGGAAAGCCAATGCAACAATTTTTTTTTTTTTTTTCCAGGCAGAAGCTAAAAGTGTTTAGTCATTCTGGAGAGAATAAAATTATGTTTTCAAGTTGGCTTTCAGGTTATAAAACATCCTCCCTCCTGCTGACTGTCTCCTGACCAGTTCCGGATTTCCACATCTACCCCTATGTCCACTTGGCCAGCTCTGATGAAAACTGCTAAAACCCGGGAAGAGTCATTCCTCTTTGGCATGCTATCTTAAATAACAGACCTCCTGTGTGATAGTTAAGAATGCCCACAGAACCTAAAATACGCTTAGCTATCAGTTGTAGTTCTCAAAAGAATTAATCAGAAGCTAATGACAACAATAAGAATGATACAGGGGAGGAGTTTTTCAGACAGGAGAGTAAGGTGACAGTGTTAAGTATAGTCTAGACTAGATATTTTACCAGCCACAAAAACAGCACCATGAGCACATTCAATTTCAAGAACAGTGCATACAGCCTTTGGTGAGTTTGGAGGACAAGGAAACTGCCTGCAAAACAAAATACATTTTACGGCTACTATTTTCCAGACATGAAATCACATGACCAAGATGAATCAGCATTGTCTGAGACACACATATAGCCTGAGTCTCTCAAGGACTAAGCTACTCCCTAGCTTTAAGTTTCAGAACAATAAGGGTCCTTCAGGAGAACCACTTTCAATGCATGATGGTGGCACTGACCTAGTAAATCAGGGCTCTGCTACAAACTTTCACGTTCAAGAGGCGTCATCTTCCAAGATGATAATTTCCAACAACCTTAAGATTTGTGTGTATATGTAGGGAGACATACATGTGAGGTGGCAGTCTGTCTAGGCTTTAACCATTTTGCTATCCACAGACACTGGCTGTTGGCTTACATGATCCTCTGTCACCTGGGTATAGCTGATGTGCCAAGAAGCACTCACTACATGAGTGAGTCCCACCTGTGGGGAAGGCACTCCACCATTTTTCTTTCTTTTTCTTCCTTACTCCCAACTATTACCTTGGGAATCAGATCACAGAGCTGGAAATAGTAGAATGTGGCAGGCTCTGCCCTTTTAGTTAAGAAACACCAGTCCAAGTGAAGGCAGGTAGAAAGGCAATGCTATAACTTTATTCTCTGTTCACCATCTGGGAACTTCCAAAGCTAGTAACTGGATTAGGGTCTATCTGTAAATAACTACATGTGCACTTAATCCCAAATGTGTCATTTAAATATTTCATATAGTTTCCCAAGATGTCTTAACAAAGAAATAATTTAGAAATTCAGATCTATTGCTTGTATAGAGTGATTGTCTTTGCTTTCTAAACTATAATAAAAATATTCCCATTATGAGATTTGGTTTTAGTCAGTATCAGTAAAAAACCAAAAAAGTTGTTGATACAGACTCCTGGTGGCCCCATGTGTGTCAGAGCAGAACCGTGGCCACAGGGCTTTCAAGAGCTGGTTTCTCAGAAGTAGGTCACCAGGCCTTTCTTCCAAGGAGCGTCTGGGCAGACTCAAACCAGCAGCTGAGTGTGTGAACCCATGGAACCCTTTCAGTCAGTAAAAGACATAAAATCTTCCCCACAAGTTCATTATTTTAAATTTATTCAAGGCTACTTACTCTGGAGGGTTAACTAGGAAGATATTAAAATATTCTAATGAAGAGATATTAATAAAATTAGTACACTAAGGATTCAAACATAAGATTTATTGTATTTAAAGTATTTCAGCATATTTTAACAAGTGAGGACACTCTTGGGCCCTTTCTCCCTCCATGGAGATGGACAACCCTAGGGAGTGAAAGATGAAAGGTGTGATGGGAACAGTGCTGGGCTGAGGAGTCAGAAGGCCTGGTTCTAGGTTCACTCTGCATTCCCCACTTGGAATCTTGGACAAGTCAACTCCCTCTTTGGATCTCAATATCCTCTTCTAAAAGATAAGGAAGTTGGATTATTCATAGATTCAAGTATTAATTTGACAAATATTTATTGAACACCACTATATGCCAGACACTGTGCCAGAGGTTGGGTATACAATGATGACTAAGACAAAATCCTGGTCCCTGAAATATATACAGCCTTGTCTGAGAGATAACCCAGATTATCTCCAACATTTCCCTTTATTCTAAAAGTCCATTATGCCTCTTAGCTTCTACTTACTTGCGGAAATCCTCTTCTTTTATTTTATTCAAAGCTTTCATAACTGCCATTCTAGTGAATACTGACTATACAGAATAGAATGAAAAAAAGAGATATTTTATTACCTATGCAAGAAAACATCAGAGATGAAACAGAGAACACAGTTGGAGAAATTTTATTATTGTATACATTTAAGGGGGGGGGGATTATTAATAAGTTTTAAGAAAACAAAAAAAATTTAAGCATTCATAATTTCAGTTCTGTAATCAATATGCCTCTACAACCCTTGTCTTCACCTAGTCTATGTCTCAAACACGAGGTAAACTTAGAACGAAGATTGCCTTCACTGTTCTGTCCCATTCTTCTCAAACTGTGATATTCTTCCAATACAAAGTGATGACTTGCGGGAAACATGCTTTGAGTATTCTTCCCCGGGCAGATCTCAAGAGGAGCTTACATTGATCCATCTACCTTTTCTTCCCTAACCCCCTTCCAAGACCACAGTATATAATTTAGAAGTTGACCACCAGTGTAAGAGTAAAACAGAGACAATCAGCTGCCCTGGTGTCCAGCAACTGGACATCACTCAGCAGCCACAGATAGCCACAGCCAATCCACTACATGGAATAGCAGGGCATCTGCAACAAATGTCCTACTTTGGGTGCTTTAAAATAAGCCAAGCCAAACCATATGGCATACGTACAAGAACTAATTAGTGCATGTGTAGTACATATACATTTTATACTATGACACATCACAATGATTTCTTCTGTTATGAGAAATCACGTTTGCCTGAAAAGGAGCCCAATGGAGGCCTCGCAGCAGTTCATTATGAGTCAGGGCAATGATTTTCTAAATCATACTCTGGGGAGCCCCAGGGAGTTCTACAAGCTACCTTAGGGGCAGAGCTGAAAATAAAGTGCCTGTTTGATAAGACATGAAAAATTAGGCCTGAAAGAATCTCAAAAGGTCATTCTGTTCCCTCTAAGCCATGAAGCAAGGAAACTACATTTAAGACCCTATGTTATAACATTGGCCAAATGGCCTGCTGTCTATGATGTTTTTATAAAAATTTCCTTATCCCATTATTTGATATGGATATTCTATATTTCCTCAAACCAAAAAAAAACCTAACACACTGCCATTGAGTAGGATCCGACTCATAGCAACCCCTCCTTGGGTTTCTGAGGCAGTATCACTACGGAAGTAGATTGCCCAATCTTCCTTCCAAGGAGAAGCTGGTGGGTTTGAACCACCAGCCTTCTGGTTAGCAGTCAAATGCCTTAGGCACTATGCCACCAAAGCTCCTATATTTCCTCAAAGGTAACAAAAATAAAACTAGATCCTCAAGATAAATATGGCTTATAGGACATTTGGGCAGAACTTCCCAGCTAGTATGGCAAAGTAGGGGCTACAGTTGCTGAGAGGCTGATCCCTTTACTTCACAAGGACATCTGGGCAAGGCCCAGGCAGTAGGAACCTCAAGGCCTGTCCTTTCAAAACTGGAGAGCAATTTCATCTGTTTAATTGCAGGGTGGTGAACAAATATGGTAACATTCTAGGCATGCCATGATGTGAGAAAAGGAGAAGCACTGCTTTCGGCTTGGTCTTCATTTCTAATGATTCTGCATGGGGCATTTGACAAATGTTTTAAACTAATTTTTTCCCCGTTCTGAAAGGCCCAGCAATTACTCAAAGAGTGATGAAAGACCAATTGTTTCTTTGGCAATAAACTCATATTATTTTTGACAGCCAAAATAATGTCTGTAAAGTATGTTATAGTGCCTGAGTCTCTGCACAAAACTAGCCAAGTAATTGGGGCAAGAAAGATGGTCAACATAGTGCTATGCCATTTATACTGGCATCATATGAACTAAAAGTACATGCCAACTAATCAAATCATTAACATGAAGATCATGAAGAAACTGCTCTTTTTGCAAATGTAGCCCGAAATGTTGTTGTTAGGTGCCATCGGGTTGATTTTCAGCTCAAAGCGACCCAGTGTGATGGAGAAGAGCCATGTCGGATTTTCTAGGCCATAATCTTTACCAGGGCAGATCACCAGGTCTTTTTGCTCCCTTGGAGCGGCTGAGTGGATTCAAAACACCAACCTTTCAGTTAGCAGGTGAGGGCCTAACCTTTGCCACCACTAGGGCTCAATTAATATTAACCGTATTAATTCAAGATTATCCTAACTAAAATAATTTACTTTGGATGCGTAGTGCTTAAGGCATTTGACTGCTAACCAGAATGCTGACGGTTCAAACCCTCCAGCCACTCAGCAGAAGGAAGACTGGACAATCTACTTCCATAAAGATTTACCCAGATTTACTCGGAAACCCAAAGGGGGTCCCTATGAGTCGGAATTGACTCAATGGCAGTGAATTTGGGTTTTTTGGTATATTTCAAAAAACATACATTTCTGGAAAATATAGATATTAGACAAGTCTTTGGAATGCTGCCAACGTTTACCAAGATTTTCCCAGACAATGTAATTTGGGGATTAAATCTAAAAGCTGAATTTATCTGACTGGGTAAGAGAAACACTGAAACACTTGTTCTAAATTTAACATCAGGGGAACAACCTCAACAGTGACACAGACATGAAGATGTTTGTGTGCTCAACTTCCTAGCCAAAGGCAAAGGTGTTGAGAACTGAAAACAATAAAAATAAACATAGCAAATGGAAATATTTAAAGACTAAGTTTAGAGTTACCACATTTCTAAGACATCCTTTTTGTTGTTAATCTGAATATTCAGCTCAGAGAAAACTAATTAAAAGAATAAGTGAAAAGCATCCTCACCTGTTTGTTTCTAGCTGGCTTGAAGCAATCTGGGCATATTTCACCTCTAAATAAAATTCAAGTTAATATAAAAAGTTAATGAGTTTCTTTAGGGGTGGATATAATTCAAACATATTTTATACAATATGGCAGCTCAACCCAGGATATCATGAGTAGAAAAAATGATCGGGCTAGCCCCTTATTTTCCACCTACTAGGACAGACAGTACAAGTTCTGACATACTTATTAAAAAGGAGAGTAATACTGTTTTCATGAAAACCAAAGAGCATTAAAAACATTACACAATTGAAATTGTTGTTTACAGGGCAACTTACAGGAAGTGGCAATCCTCAACTGTTTCTGGGTGAGCAAAGACCACACTCACTTCAAACAAGCTCTAAAAATTATAAAGACAGTTTAAAAATGAGCAAAAGGAAACCAACATCTAACAATTTCTGAATGAAATAGAAATTAGCTCTCAAAGATTGGCTCAGAAAAAGAGTGACAAGGAAAACTGGAAATACTACTACTCTCAAATCAGCCTATTCACAGGGCAGCTGTGAAAGAAATCTTTTTTCTTTTTCTTTTTTAACTTCTAAAGCTCAGTCACTAGTGAGCCTACCAAAAAAAAATTTCAACAAACTTTAAAAGTCCAGGTTTTGTATGATTTTTTTTGTACACGTATATAAATTATGTATGAAGATGAATAAGAATTTAGGGACTGGGAAGGCAACGGTAACTGAAAGGCACAAGAATTGTTCCAGTCAATATTATGATGAGAATTATTAATAACAATGCAAAAGCCATTTATTCACATCCTTACAAGCCTGTATTCCTTTGTTGTTGTTAGGTGCTGTGGAGTCAGCTCCGACTCATAGTGACCCTGTGTACAACAGACGAAACACTGCCCAGTTCTGTGCCAGCCTCACAATCCTTGCTATTCCTGAGCCCATCACTGCAGCCACTGTGTCTATCCATCTTGTTGAGGGCCTTCCCCTCTTTCATTGACCCTCCACTTTACCAAGCATGACATCTTTCTCCAGGGAATGGTCCCTTCTGATCACATGACCAATGTAGGTGAGAAGTCTGGCCATTTTCACTTCTAAGGAGCATTTTGGCCACACTTCTTCCAGGATAGATCTGTTAGTCCTCTTAGCAGTCCAAGGTACTTTCAGTAATCTTGGCCAACACCACAATTCAAAAGCATCACAGCTCTTCTTCGGTCTTCCTTATTCATTGTCCAGCTTTCACAGGCATATGAGGGGAATGAAAATACCTGTATGGTACTCCTCTTTTAAAGTGCTCAAGCTTCTTAATGGATTTGAATTTTAAAAGAGAGATCTAATTTTTTTGTTTGTTTTATTACAAATGCATTACAGACAAATTGTAAAACTATCCCACACAGGATGTTTTTCTTTTTTTAATACATTCTATTGAAATATAATTGTGTACAGTGAAATACACAAAACTAAAGTGACATGGGTCAATGCATTTTTTTTTTTTTTTTGGCAGTGTTCCCTCCCCTCCCATCCCACCCCTGGCAACCAACAAAGAAAGTTTCCCTCCATATATAAACCTTTCCTTGACCCTCCACAACAACGAACCAATACTAATTTGTCCTTCTGTGATTGACTTATTTCACTCAGCATAATGTCCTCGAAGTTCATCCATATTATGTGGTGTTTTGCAGACTCTACATTATTCTTTAGTGCTGCATAGCATTCCATTGTGTGTATGCACCATAGTTTGGTCATCCACTCTTCCACTGACGGGCATGTAGGCTGTTTACATCTTTTTGCTATTGTAAATAATGCTGCGATGAACATGAGTGTGCATATATCTGTTCCGGTTCTGGCTCTCACATCTCTAGGATATATACCTAGTAATGGGATTGCTGGGTCAAATGGTATCTTCAATTCCAGCTTTCTAAGGAATCGCCATATTTGTTTTTATCACTTCACAGCCCCCCAGTAGTGTATGAGTGTCCCAATCTCTCCACATCCCCACCAGCATTTGTTATTTTGTCTCATTGAACCTTGCCATCAGTGCTGGGGTGAGATGGTATCTCATTGTTGTTTTGATTTGCATCTCTCTGATGGCCAACAGTTGTGAGCATCTCTTCATGTATTAGCTGGTCATCCTCCTTGGTGAAGTGTCTATTCATGTCTTCTGCCCATTTTTCAATTGGATTGTTAATCCCTTTGCTGTGAGGCATTGGAGTTTTCTATAAATCTTAGAGATAAGTCCCTTGTCAGATATGTAATTATTGGCAAAAATGAATTTGTTGCTGTCATTTTTGTTATGTGCTTTTTTGTGGTGTTGATTTCTTGTTCCATATAATTTTCTATGCTGACCTCATTTTGTTTATGAATCATGTTATCACTTCCTTCATTGCTATTGTTTTAGAATTTGTTAAATATTTGTGCTGGTCCTCTTTTTTATTTTGATGTGAAGGTTTATCATTTTTCTTTGAGGTTACCCTGTGATTTACAGTTTTCTTCCCAAGTTTAGAACAGTCCGTTCTATCTTGTAGTTGTCTTGACTTCCCTACCATCTAGAAGTTCTGTAATGACACAGTTTTTCCCCTCTTTTTGGTTTGTAGTTATCCTCACTTGTCAATTGATGTCTCTGGTTCCCTGTTTATAATCTTGTAGGCTTCTTTACTTTGGATACTTCCATAGCTGGGTTGGTTTCTGGATTACATCATCATGTGTGTTAATGGTCAGTTTCTCTATTGTTGTTTCTCTGTCCAAAGGACTCCCTTTAGCATCTCTTGTAAGGTTGGTCTGGTTTTAACAAATTCCCTTAATTTCTGCTTATCTGGAAATGTCCTAATTTCACCATCATATCTGAGGAACAATTTTGCTGGGTACATAATTCTTGGTTGAAAATTTTTCTCTTTCAGGAGTTTATATATACCATCCCATTGTCTTCTCACCTGCATAGTTTCTGTGGAGAAATCCGAGCTTAGTCTTATTGGTTGCCTCTTGTAGGTAACTTTTCGTTTTTTCCATGCTGCTCTTGTGATTGTTTCTTTGTCTGGTTTTGGTGAGTTTGATGATGATATGTCTGGGTGATTTTCTTTTAGGGTCTATCTTGTTTGGGGTTCACTGGACTTCCTGAATGGATATATTCTCATCTTTCATCATTCCAGGAAAATTCTCTTCCAATAAATCTTAGAAAATTTTCTCTGTGGTTTTATTTTTCTCTTCCTGTTCTGGAATTCCAATGACATGTAGGTTATTCCTTTTGATGGTATCCCACATGCACATTAGGCTTTCTTCATTTTGTCTTGATCTTTTTTCTGATTGATCCCTTTCCAAAGAAATGTTCAGGTATTTGCCTTCAATCTCACCAATTCTGTCTTCCATTGATTCAATCCTGCTTCTTTGCCCATTCAATGTCTTATCTATTTCTGACAATTTAGTATCAATCTTCTGGATTCCTATCTGTAGATTTGGAATCATTTCAAATTTTTCATTTATTTTGTCATTTTGTTCTTGTATTGTCTGTGTTTTCCTTGATCTGTCTCTCAATCCTTTGAAGATACCTAAATAGAATTCTTTTGAATTCCTTATCAGAGAGTTCCAATGCTGCATCTTTCTCAGGGATGGGTTTTGGTTCTGATTCCTTGTCCCTTGTTTCTCCTGCTTTATTTTGCTTCTTTGTGTGGACTGTGATGCTCTGTTGTCTCTGAGGCATTGTGACGTTTTTGTGTTTATATTTAATTGGTGACTGTGTGTTGGAATGACTTGCCCACTATTTTCATTTTCTTTGTTTTGTTTGTATGCTATCTATGCAAGCAGGGTACTGTGCTCCTCTAATCACTAGTTGACACCACTTATACACTCACGACCTGTCTCCTTTCCTGTTGTCAGTCTCCTGTATGTTCCTGCTGACCTTGACAGAGCCTATTCTTAGGTCCTGTTTTCCTTTCGTTCAGGTTTTTCCACTAGTTGATGCCTAATCCACTTCTGTAGAGTTCCTTTCAAAGCTCAGGGCTCCTGGATTATCTTCTCTATCTCTGTCAATTGTTTTTTCTTTGTTGAAGAGCATCTGTGTTGCTTGTCTGCCTATTCCTCCATCTTACCAGAAGTCCACACAGGATGTTTTTCAATCCCACTCCACTGAGGTAGAACTACGAACAGTGTGGTGTGCTTTCATCTAGCCATTCTTATTAATATAAATATATATGTATATGTTGTTATTGTTGTTATGTGCTGTTGAGTCGGACCCAACTCATAGTGACCCCTCCTTGGGTTTCCAAGGCGGTATCACTACAGAAGTAGGATTGCCCAACCTTACTTCTGAGGAGTGGCTGGAGGGTTTGAACCGCCAGCCTTCTGGTTAGCAGTTAAGTGGCTCAGGCACTATGCTACCAGAGCTCCTATATGTATATAGTTCTCAGGATATTAATGATGCTTTTGGAATATTCCCTTACTTGATTAATATTATATCATGGACATCTTTTCAATTCTAGGGACTGTACAACATTTATGTTGTAGAAAGTTTTCGTCTTTTTTTAAAAAAAGCTACAATGAACATCCTTGTACACATAAAAAGCATGATTTCATACTCCATATACACCTACATACCTATCCTGAGAATATACAGCATTCAATGTTGAGAAAAAGATAAAATGGCATACATATGTTATAATTTTTTATCTTTTTTTATTGGGTTCTGTATTTATTGAATATTTTATTGAATTTGCTGAGAGGATTAAATTAGCAGCAAGTCTATTAGCTATATGCTAGAATAACAATAGTGAAGCTTTTTCTGCTTCCTACTCTAATCTACAAAATAAAATTGAAATAAGCAACACATCCCTTATACTCAAGAAAACATCATTCAACTTGAATTTATTAGAACATTTTTTATCTTTTGCTTTCTATTTTCTGTTCTCACTAACTCAACAGGTAAAATTATTTGTGCTTCAAAACTGAAAGTTGAGGTAAAAAAAATATTTTGCATCAATGATTTCTCTAATTTCCAAAGTACTTTCATTACCTCATTTCCTTTTCATGCTATCTGTGAAGTGGTTTTATTCTCTATTCTCTCAGCATTCTGTTTCAAGAACAGTTGGAGCTTATTCTTACTAATGGAGGGAAATAGAGTTATATAATTTAAGATGGTTTAAAAAAAAAGGTGAACTATTTAGCTTTGGAAGATGATTTGGTGATTTTATTCAAACAAGGGTGTGTCTAATATTGAGGGAATTTCCTTCAAGCAAAACAATGAGGCAATGAGGTCCTGGTATTCAAATCTAATTTAAGATGAGCTGGGAATATGTCCTGTTTCCCCATCTGGAAACCAGTTGAGCTCCTCCCTGAAATTCAAATTATTCTAGAGACTGCGACAAGGTCTGCACTGGAATACGAGAGATGGCTAAGTGCT